TAAAGGATGTGAATGAAACATGAGGGAAAAAAAACTGCTTTCCTTGACGTCCCGTTGTCAATTCTGAAAAGCCATTAAAGGAGGTAATAAGAGAAAATGGATTACCAAGAAATATCTAATATTCTTCGTAATTTGAAAAACGTACCGTACGCAATGTATCTTTTATTTAGTATCCTAACTTAATTCTTGTAATACAGTCTGTTCTAAAATCTTTTTTTTTTTTTTTTTTTTTTTTTGTAAACTACATATTTATTTAGCTTTTAATTTTAAAAAAAATGCTGGCTTTGTACGTTTCTATTTTAAGTAAGGTCCGCATTGCCAAAACCATCATGTAAATAACATTGTTTTGGAGAAACTTCATTTAACAAACAAGACTGTTTTGACTGTCAAAGTCTGTTACTTTGCTATAATAGTTATTAACATTTTCTATGACTCTTATATATAGAAGTTCAAATAACAAATTTTACTAAATTCTGTAATCTAAACTACTAAACTTACTAAAAGCTAAAGTTTTGGTAGCAGATAATCTGGAAATTACCAAGTATAAAAAATTTTACGGGAAACTTTAAAACCCAAATAAAAACTTTAAATCTGTAAATAAAAGTTAATTAAGTAGGAAAATTTCAGATTAAGATTTAACTTCACAAAGGAGGGCTTACCATTAAACATTTAAAATATTTGAAAATGAAAATGTAGAAGACAATAATTAACAATAATAGTAAATTTATGCATAAGTGAACAAAATTGTCTGTGGGGGGGGAAGTCGAATATTATCTTTAAGCATAAGTATTGCCTTTCAGAATCTGTTAAATCAAACTAAATTAATGTATTTGAGAAATAATGTACAGGGTGTTTCAGCAAATCGGGTACAAACTTTCAGGAGAGATATAATCCATCTGGACGATGGAAAATCCCATATCAATGCATGGTCAAAAAGGCTACAAAACAAAACGCAATAAAGGGAGAACATGAACAGGGTGAGGAAACATGCTTATTATGCTTAGTAGAGTAGAAATCAAGAACTAAGAACAAAAATAGCCAATGATCGTCATCAAAGAAGTGTTCGAAATTACGACCCTGGACTTTGATGCAGACTTCACATCTGCGGCGCATGGAAGATTTGATGTTCTGGAAAATATCAGGCATGTACCAGACTTCCCCAGAAGCTCTCACGATGCGCAAACAAATGTCACAGCACTTTTAAGGGAGGTTTCGTACACTAGTGTGTTCACGTACCCCAGAGGAAGTAGTGAATATATGTGAGGTCTGGAGATTTTCCAGACCAATGCACCGGACCACCCCTGACGATCCCCTGTTGAGGATACATTTCGAAAGTAATTTCGAATAGCTTCTTTGATGACGATCGTCTGTTTTTGTTGTTATTTCTTGGTTTTCGCTACACTAAACATAAACATATATTCTTACCCTGTTCGTGTCCTTCCTTGTAATTTGTATCGTCACTACTGCGTCAGGAAAGCGTTTCCAACTGTGCATTGCTATGTATTTTTCCAACGTCTAAGTGTACTCTATTTCTCCTGACAGTTTGTAACCGATTTGCTAAAACATCTGTACATAATATTAAAATGTAAGAAATATAATCTGAAATATGTAATGCTGGTGCATAAAGCTATACCATAAAACAAACTGAAATAATCCGTGAGCATGAAAGTTTATTAAAAAGCGAAAATCCTCTCAAACTAATACAGCGTTTCCACTTCGTTTTCTCGCGTAATCGGATATTAACAGGGAACTTAACATCTTTTAAATCGTACACATGCACCAAAATGCTATTTAATTCTTCTCTTATGTGTTAAATTATTAGGATTTAAGGGAATAATTTTCATTTCTCTACCAAAACATTCTTTAAAGGACTGTGAGCTCTAGCAGAAGTTTGCCTTGCAAGTACGAAATAGAGTTCCATTTAAGGGTGCTATTTTCCAGAGTGTTTCTTCAACGAATAGCATTAATAATTAGGATTTGTTTGTCCAATTCGTTTAGTGTCGTTGGTTCCAAAAGATTCAGCAAACAAATTTATTCGAGTGGACTAAATTACCCTCTACGTTTATAAAATCTTTTCTGGGAATACGAGTTTGAGAATTATATTTGCTAGTTGCATGTTTGTTTAATATAACATGTACTTGCATTAAAAGAAAACCTGTTTGTGTTGCTGTTCTTTGTAATACCGTTACATGGTACGCAAAATTTGAAAAATACACTTTACGCAAAATTTGCATCTCGGTTGATTTTCACCGAATGGTGTTTTCGTTCAACAAATTATGCATGAAATATATTTTTCTTGCGTTCTTTTTTAAGGGTGCATGCAATTTATGTATAATTTTAGCTAAAGGTACTGTGGGATAAAAATATTAGGTAATTCGAATGCCTACGTACTTTGATTTATTTATCTTAAAAACCTGTGACCAAAATTCTCCAACAATTTTTGAAAAGATATTTAGCGGTACAGACGTTTTGAAAGATCCTATCTTTTGTACGTAATATGTTTTTAAGCTGATAGAGAAGATTTTTTGATACAGTGTAATTTCCCATCCTAAGGTTAGGCTTCTTTGTTTCGTTTGCTTTTCACTTTATGGCTGAAGGCTATCAGTATGTTGTAGATGGTCATGAGTTGAAGGAAAATTAAAGCAACCCAGAAAAGATATGTGATGATCTGTCGATGAATTGATTGTCATCTACAGTGCCTTTAATGCTCACAGCCGCGGCCGACACATTCGAAGAAAATGTTACTAAGCCAAATTAAATGCCCCATCACAAGCGAATGAATAACGGTGCTGTAAAAATATGATACGTAGGTTTTGGAAGACTTCGTATAAGATAGTTCATATTGTTGCGTGCATAAGGATTCGTAAAGACTGAATGTACACAGAACCGATGGTAATTGGTAAAATTTATTTTACCAAATTATTAATTTTTGTAAAATTCATTTTACCAAAGAAGCATTTCACAGTTCTCGAACGTTCCACAAAAATTATCATATAACTCTTCACACTATTCACAGAGTACAATCTACGCATCAAGCTACTAAGAACGTTAAATACAAGGTAATGTAAAGTGCATCTAAACAGCAAAGCTAACACGGAGATAGCTCAGTACTCTGAATTTAGGCTGAACTAAAAGATAACAACTGGGAGACATGCACTCTCTGGGTTTATACAGTTTTCAACCAGTCGCCGAGACATCTGGTACCTTTTGCTTCTCGAAATTACTGGAAGGCATATGAAGGCCGAAATACGGTTATAGCTATACAGAGCATCAATCACAGTTATTTAATTACAAAATCCATCACAGTTATACGAAGATCGGACCATAATGTCGCCAAATGGTAGCCAAGATTTCTCGTCAAATTTGGCTACAGAAATTAGTCGCAAAAACCGTTGCCAGCTTGGCCATATCTCGCCAAATTAGCGATATTGCCATTTACTCGATGTTAAACAGATTTGCCCTGTATTCTTACTTTTCCGGCAAGATTCATTTCTCCAGATTTTCATGTTGCATTATAGAGAAATAAAGTATAACAATTTCACATATACCTGCTCTAAGTTCATCTATCTTTGTATAAAATTCGTAGCAATATTTAAGGCAATGCCTTTTCAGAATACACGATAAGAGAATGGGTCAACTTTCCATTAATGCACATCGTAAAGAATCATTTAGGGATAATTCTTTGTACTTTTGAAAATACACAGCTCATGTGTTAGATGAACATGCATATACATATGTTTTTACTTCCTTGTACGAAGTAAAAAGGAAGTATTATAATCACGAAAAGCTTCAGGCAGGATATTTCAAGGAAAATATCCACTTTGACCGCTTTCGAATGCAATTTAACGACGTTTTTGCGTGATATCTGTACGTAAAGAAAGAAAAAATAAAATACTCTTTTCCTCTTTCCTCCAAAAAATTATAAAAACTGCTTTAAAATGAATTCTGAAGAGAATTTTTCGTGGCTCTGTAGTACGAACTTATGTACATACGTACTTACGTACGTATCTCGCATAACTCAAAAACGAGTAACCTGAGAACGTTGAAATTTTGTATATAGGACTGCTATAACATTCAGATGCGCACCTCGTATTTTGGTTGCAATCGGCCGCACCTAACGTATATAATATATTTATAAATATATCCACTCTGTTACCCGGCTCAGTGATCTCAGTTTCTTTACTCTTATATGTTTGTAAATTGTACAATTTTTGCTTTAAAAATGATTGAATTATGTTGTTTTTATATTCCGGTTAAGGGTTTTATGCCTTTACTAAATCTGTATGCAATATTTTTAGAATTATCAACAATATTTAAATTGTTTAAGTGCCGCTAAGCCTAATTTGATGACGGCCATTGCTCTTATTTACATTTGAAACAGCTGAGTAGCGGATTTGTTGCCGATCTAGAGAAACAAAGCTTCGCAACAACAAAGATAACGCCTTCATTTATTATTTAAATCATGCTTAATCCTTTCTCGAATTTTTTCGAGGAAATAAGCGTTTAAGATTTACTTCGTAATTTTTAATACAGATATTTTGAGTTTTTATGTATTTTTGCCTTGTCGCGAAGTGAAAACTGAATTAATTGAATGAGTAATACTCAATCGTCTGAGAGAAACTGTTTTTTTTTTTTTTGTTTTGTTTGCTTAATTTCTTTTATACATAGTTCTAGCTTTATTATAGTATTTGAATAGAGCATGTGACAACGATTAGATAATTCTTTAAATGATATAAATTTTGTGCATTCTGAGTTATAATATGAACGAAATACTCGTATAATAATGTTAAGTAAACCTAGCGCCAGAGTGTCGCTATGGTAAACAAAGTGAATTTTAAAGAATGCATTTATTCTATTGTGGTTTATGCTCTGTCGGCGAAGTAGCTTTAATTCAATCTAATAAGTTTAAATGAAATGCAAGAAAAAATGCTTATAATTTAATATTCCGTACAAGAAAGTCATGAGGTGTACACATTATATTTTTTTCTTTCTAGAAACCGACTTATGTGATCTTAACCCTAATATATGTGGAATGGAGGCTGGGTGCTACCCTACAGAGAATTCCTATATATGCCTGTGTCATGATCTGCGACCGGCTGGTTTGAACAATAGCTGTGATCGGTCTAAAGGTAAGATTGATATTACTAATTAAATTGGTCTAAAAGAATCTGCTGTTTAAGGAAATATAGTTACTATCCCTTTTAAATAATATATATTTTTCTTTCTAACATTTAGGTAACCAGTTTTAATGAAATTACTGCTTCAGTATGAATTTTTTTTCAAGTAGTTTAAACTTGAAGCCTCATTCAAGCCTTTTTTATATAAATACCATGGAGTTCGTTAGCTAGCATTTAAACTGATTTAAATCGCACAGAATTTTAACAGTTATCACTGACAAATGTTTGCTTTGACAAGTGTAGTAACATTATAATTTCAAACTGAATTAATATGAAAATTCATAATTCCGTGTTTTTATTATTTATTTTCATCTTTCGTTGGAATTCGCGGAAGTTTTTAAATTCCAGACTTTAAAGATTTTCTGGAATTTTTATTTTAATTACTGCAATTTTTTTAAAGATATCTGAGGGTAAACATTCTTAGCCTTATTTCCACTCATTTTAGTGGAAAATTTTAAATTCAAAACAGATTTTGACTAAAGTTTGGAGATGTGCAGAGACAACAAACTACCTCGTATAGTATCTAATTTTGTTTATATTGGCCTCCTTTTGACCTCATAAAAATTGAACTGCACTCGCCATCTTCCTGTGACTTTAAAGATGTAATATATATTAATTAATAAAAACGTCAGATTATTGCTAATTGCTTACACCGATGTTTTATAAATAGATTCAATTTTTGTTATCTTCTAATTACAGAATTTAGGAAGATAGACAGAATAAATATTCATTTAGCATCAATGGATGAATTAAACTTTCTTTACAATATCTTTTATAATAAAATCTGTGAGTGAGTCCAACTTTCGAATCCCGGCGAGCGGGCTGGCTGCATGGGTGTTTCGTGATTTTCTGCATGTGTATAGTGTATGCAGTATCTTCTGGACGCATAAGTGAATAAAGCGGGGGGGGGAACTCTTTTAGACACGAACAATGGTAGTTCGGTCTAACTTTCGAATAAAGGCCAATGAAAGCGGGCTTCAGCCTGCTCAGCTGGCGGGCTTACCCGCTAGTCTTTTATAATAAAATCTGTGAGCGAAAGAGCAATTTAACACTGGAACGCCCGACAGAGTCCTTTCGACTCCGCATGTTAAGTAAACACCCATATCATTCTTAATTTTTCATTTCAGTGATTTCCCTTACATGACTTTTAATGAATTAATGATGTCTATGACTTGAACAAACCAGAAATATTTAACGTAATTTTGAAAATATTTATTTTAAAATATTTATCTTTTGGAAAAAAACCGCAGTTTTATCATTTCCTTCATGTTTAGGTGTCATGACCTTGTATTGCACTTTCGTTTTGAAAAAGTGATATATCAGTTATTGTGGCATTCCTCTTTCCACCCCTAAGTTAAAAAATTCTCCCCTAAGTCAATTCTTTGCATCTGCTGATTCAGCTGGCAAATTTCCCGGGATGACTCCTTTTGCAATTATTTTGTTGCTGCTTGTGTTATATTTTTCACAAATGTTCATGCTACTCAGTTTGTTTGAATATATTGCAAAAAAATCGCTCGTAAAAAAGGATTAACGCCAGAGGAAATAAGAAATCTTTTGCGTGAGCTGTCAGATAATGAATCTGATATGGCTGAACAATTAGACATTTAAGACGAGGATTTAAATAGTTGATTTTGAATGTGTAAATGACTATTCATCAGATTCTATGGAGGTGAGAACAAGGAAATATCAGAATATGCGTCAGATAATACTCGAGCTCTCACTGCTCCTGATGGCACAGAATGGAAAATGTATAAAAATTAAAAAAAAAAAAAAAAAAAAAAAAATCCTGCAAGATTTTTCAAAACAAAATATTATACGGCAAGATAGTGGACCAGCAAATCCTGACAAAAGGAACATCAGTGATAATAGTGTGTTGAGTGTTTGGTTTTTATTTATAGACAGCACAGTTTTGAACATTATAAAGAAATGTACCGAAGTAGAGCCAAGGCGCATCCTTGAGAATGACACTTGGTCTCTTTCTGTAGAAGAGTTACTTGCCTTTATTGGAAAACTATATACCCAGAGTTTGAGTGGTGCGAAAGGAATAGATTTTCATTCCTTGTGGTCTAAAACGTGGGACCTGAATTTTTGCACAGGAACTATCAGAAGAAACAGCTTTTGTGGCATTCTACGATTTTTAGGATCTCACTTAAAATCTATGCGTTTTACCCGCTTGCAAACAGATAAATTTGGAATCGCTTCATTGATAATTGTATTTCTTGCCTCAAACCGGAGAAAAACATAACAAAACAATGTCCGTTTATTGAATTTATACCGTCAAAACCCTGTAAATATGGACAAAAGTTTTGATTTACTGTTAATGTAAAAATAAAATACCTCCTCAATACTTTCCCTTACCCATGAAAAAAATGAAGAACGACCATCTGATCAAAGAATATCTGAATACGTTGTAAGGATTATGTTCATTTTATTAACAGTTAAATTTTAAGTTCCTTTCCTGTCGATTCTTAACTTCAATTTACTACTTCCGGCCAGAACGTAGTTTTAAAATCACGTCTGAATACATAATGAGGAAGAGCGGTATTTAACCGCAAAGTTCTTCGGTCTTAAAATGAGAGATACCAAGTTTCTGGCTTCACACGTCCGCCTTTTTAGGCTACTCTCTCGTAAGCTATTATTGCGCTCGGCCGTACTTTAGGCCCTTGATAAATTCGCAGTCTATTAAGATTAAGGGGCCAACTCGGTTAAAATCTTGATAGCTTCGGCTATATCTCTTTTAGTTTAGATTAGTTTTAGTTTAATTCTTAGTCTCCTAAGTTCAAGCCCAAATGTCGGCTTTTATTGTACATTCCAAGACGGAGTTCTGTTCAGTCTTATTTGAATAATAAAGAGTTATTTACCCTTCCATCTTGTTGTTTCCTGTGACATGAACTCAAGCGATTATTTGTTTATCAGTTCTTAAGATTCTTCACGTTCAACAGTAACTCAACATTACACTGTGAGTAATCACACAACATTGTTATGAAACTTATCAGTTCTTAAGATTCTTCACGTTCAACAGTAACTCAACATTACACTGTGAGGAATCACACAACGTTGTTATGAAACTTTTTCTAATCAAAGGTCTAAATGTCACAGTTGATAAATTTTGTAAAGTATTTCATTTAGCTGAAGAATTGCTAAAGAGGAGAATAAGCTTGTTAGGAACTGTTAGCAGGACAAGAAGAGAAATCCCGAAGTCCATCAAAGATTTCCGAGATGCACTGTATGAATATAAAATGTTGAAACAGGACGAAACACGTGCTACTCTTACAGTATATCAAGGAGAGAGAGAAAAAAATGTAAAGAATATAAGTACCCTTCTGTCGATATAAATAATATTGAAAAGAAAACCCCCAGAAATAATAATTTATAATGCAACTAAATGTAGTGTCGATGTAACTGATTAGATGATTAGAAAGTACAGTGTAAAAGCACCTTCTAGAAAATAATCTGTTCATACTTTTTACAATTTATTCGATTTAGCTGCTATAAATGCCTGGATTATTAAATAAAAATTACTGAAAAACTAATTACAAGACAGACGTTCATCCAGATGTTAACTGATGTAATACGTCAAAACTACATACGCTTTGCTAATAAACCAAAAAGAAATGCAAGCAGAGCAAACCCACCAGAGAGATCAGTCCCAAAAAGAAGGAAATATGAAATAAAACTTTATTATGGTAATATGATTACTAATATCTGCATTTCATGCAATAAAATGGTGCGTGGGAAATGTCGTGGAAAGCTAGATTATACATGCAAAACTGCATTCTTGAACTTTAATTTAAAAATATTTGTAAGTGTATGAATTTTGTGAAAAGCATGTCGCTTTCTTTATTTTCTTATAATTGTAAATTGAGTTATACTTTTTTTAAATCAATATTTGTATTTATTGTTACTTATTACAAATTTAAATGTTTTAATTGAATTATATATTCATTATTGTGTTCTCGTTTATGTGTTTATCTTATAAATCGCATTGGAGTCGAAATGACTCCGGCGGGCGTTGTAGGGAGACGAAATTTGCGGGCGTACTAGCATTACACGAAAAAATATCTAAAGAGCCTTTCGAAATAGGGCACACATTTTTGAATAGATAAAAAACACCAAAGCATTGCATTTTTACTCTTCAGTCAGGTAGCCAAGATGAGAAAAATTAGATTAAACGTGGTTAAATAAATGAATACTCTATTTACAAGATTGCGACCTAATCTTTTTGTGCTTTTTTAAGGTTCAAAAATTTCCCTCGACTTGGAATTCTTATACAATTCATATGGTATTTTTAATTCCAACGGTTCGCTTATAATTATTGCACAGAAAAAGCGATCAGGTTAGAGTTGAAGAATATTTTCCTCTTAAATCTCTATCCATGTAGATACATAAGCATTAAAGTCCAAGATCAAGTTGAGAAAATACATTGATATTTAAATATTTTATTAAAAAGAAAAATCAAATATGCAAAATGATTGTGTTTCAAAATAAACATTTTCATGCTTCTTCTAGACTGCTAAGCTAAAACCTGATACAAATATTTAATGATGGTAAATCGTAACACATAGGAGAATTTTGCTGATAATGCAGTTGTTATTTTATTATCCCTTTTCGCAGTTAAATACTTAGATTCAGCACATGTAAACAATTAGCCAATAAAAGAAACTATTTATGCCTGTTATATATAAATTTTAGCTAGAAGAAACAGCAGTTTACTTATTCGAAAGGTATTCAAACTTCATGTTTTAAGGGTTTAATAGTCTTGATTTGTAGTCTGTAACCCATTGTTCAAAGCAGTGAATTCCAATACCCTGACTTCTGCAATAATAAGAATTGATAATACAAGAACCATTGTAATCGCATTCGACATGAAGATACGCCATAGTCTGTTCTTAGGCAACAGTAGACAGAATCCCTCCTTTGCATGACGATGTTTAATAGACCGGGAAGTTTGA